GAGACAATGAAAAAGAACCCTTTTGCATGAACACAGTTCTTTTTCTTCTCCACTAGTTACCCATGTTACTTCTCTTTCTTTTCAGGTATCTTTTTTGGGCTGTGAAAAGATAGATTGATGCCAGGAATGGATCTTCTTCGGAGCTGAGGGGAGTCGTGACCCCTCAAAGTTTTATAACTTTAATGTAATTTATGATTTTGTTCCTCTAAAACTTAATGAACATTTAATATAATTACTTGTATATTTACAATTTTATCCTTTCAGTTCCTCCTCACTTTTGTAACTTTAGTATAATTTATGATTTTGTCCCCCTCAAACTTAGTCATTATTTAATATATTTAAGTATATATTTACAATTTTATCCTTTTACCATTTCATCTTCTTATTTCCTTTTATATTTATTTATTATTTATTAATAATATATTATTTGACCCATTTAAAATTAATGGTCAAGATCCGTCTCTGCTAGTAACTAGAAATATATGTAATAATATTAGTTTTTACCCTTCTTTCTTGTCACTTTTAAACCATCTCATGCTAAAAATGAAGAGCATGCATAGAAGAAGTGATATATATATACAGTGAGTTTAAATATTCATGCAAGTAATTCTAAAAGATGGTGTTGCTCTGGTTCTTTGGTGAAAGAAAACAATAAAAACAAAATTTGCTTGAATTGAATAATATTGATGTTGACTTCGTAAGAGTACATCAGTACATTCTTTGGGAAGGTAAATTTTATGGGTAACTTTCCTCTGAATTTTCAAAGTAATCTATAAATTACATATAAGCTAGTATTAGTACTCTGTCTATTCTTAAAAACAATATTCATTTTAATATCTGAAAAAATAAAAATCAATAATCTAATACTCTATTTGGTGCATCTTAATTCAAAATATATCAAACTTCACAATTTTACGAAAAAGATAATTATTTTGGTAGGAACATGTACATTGATAGTTTTATCATCTTGTGAAATCTGGTGTACTTGTAAAATTGAGTTGTCTCTGATTTGTACCATACAAACAATTTCTCAAAGCTTTTCAAATTTCGGCTGGACATGAACCACCGAAAAAAGCGGGAGCAAGTTTGGGCCGTTAAAAGGGGAATCTAAGCCTACTTAATTTGGGTCATTCATCAAATTAAAATATATATTAATTTTTTTAACATAACTTTATTAGTATTTATAATTTATTGAAAACTACACAATAACAATAAAACGTGAAACTTGGACAATTTTGTGAATTTCAATAGACTATAATACAAATACTTATGCATTATTACTGTAATTTTAAGATATTTATAATAGAAAGGAAAAAAAAACAATTTATTTCCTTTTCAACTTTTGACTATCAGTACTTAGAATTCATAAAATCAAATTAAACTTTGTCTTGAAAAAACATTGTTTCACTTTTGATGGTAAGTAACTTGATATAGGCCTCTGGGAAAATTGGGCCACGAAGCCCAACTCTCAAAGACTATCAGGCCGGAAAGGGTGATAAGTTAGCCCAATTGGCTCAAATTTAAGAGTTTCTCGAAACTTCTATTGGAATTCATTAATAATAATACTAAACATCATGAAAGACTTTAAATTTATAAAATGGATATATTTTTTTTAAAGTACTTTTTTCCTTTCTTTGTAAGTATTGGATTTTTAGAAAAAAAATTTATTTCTTGTCATTATCATTTACCAATTTGAGAGTTATATAAATTGATTACACTATTTTCTTTTTGTTCTTCTTTTTTAAATAATAATTAAACTTACATTTATTATTATGTTAGACGGCAAGAAAAAAGTGTAGAATAGAAAAATACACGTCTATTTTATTAAAATCAATAATATTTATTATTTTTTTCTTGTAAGAATGTTAAATAGATAAAAAAACACAAAGAGTATTTGAATGGTAATAATTTTTTGTTGGCTTATTTCTTCTGCATTCTTTATTTTCCATTGTCGTGTAAGAATTGAAAAATAAGTGTCATGATCAGCATTTTATATTTATCCTTTCGTTCTCTTCATATTTAATAAACATAACTAAGTTATTTAAAATTTAGAAAACACGTAAATATATACTATAAATAAAAAAGTAATTAACATCGACACCTTATAAATAATATTTTCTTCCGTTCATTTCAAGTATTATTTATTTTTGTTTGGAAAAAAATAATAGTTTTCTTATAAGAAATTCACTTTGTTCTTTTTTATTATAATATCATAATATATATAATTTATTTATTTTAAAATAAAATTAATATTATTATTTCTTTTTATAATATAATAATTAAAATAAAATATTATTTTTAATTATTAGACTAAATAAATTTATCATAATCTTAAATGAAAGTAAAAGTATAATCAACACTCTTTTTAAAATATATAATATTTTAAATAAAATTATATAAATTAAAATAAATATTATGTTTTATTATTTTTAATAAATTTGTTAAATTTTTTTTATAAATATCTTATCATTTTAATCTAAATCACTTTTGATAATTTATTATTATCTTTTTTCTATAAAAAATATAATTAAAAAGATAAAGATAAAATTAATAAAAGAATAATTAATACAACCTTAAATTTTATCAATTATATATTTAAAATTAAAATTTCACCAAAATGTTTTATATTTTAAATAACATGGGGAAAAAAAAATTTCTAATATAGATACAAACATCTGCTCCCATTTTTTTATATTGAAAAAAAGGTAAAATGTAAGAATATTTCTAACTATAGTTGTTTTGTGAGATGATTAAGTAATTAAACAATTTTTTATTTAGGGGATATGATATAATAAATTGACTAAATTTTTTATATAATTGTTTTCTTAAATAACTTAATAAATAAATAAAATCAAGTAAATAGAAAGAGAATAATTATTTAAAATTTTATTAAAATAAAATTGATGAGTCACTTGAAAATATATGACATAACAAATCTAGGATATTAATAAGAACTCTTATCTTAAAATATATAAAAGAAAAATTTATAATATTACCGAAACTCATCATTCATTTTATTTTATTTTATTTTTAAAAATAAAAAAAAATCAATTTTCTTTCCTTATTTATTTCTGTAAGTTATTTGACTAAACAATTATTAAAATAATTTAAACATTTATCATGATTCAAATAAAAAATCAAATAATACAATTAATATTTTATTTAAGTATTTCAATAAATAAATTTTATTAAAGATGTTCTTATATTTTATATTTAAAAAAATTATTCCAGTAAAAAATATTCTAAACTTTTATGACATATTATTCTTAAATTCATAATTAATTTTACTACAATAACTTTTTTTATAAATTTAATAAAAAATTATAAGAAAAAGAATAAATATAAATGAAATGAATGAAAATTTTATAAATTATTATATTTTAAAATATATAAATATAACGTGTTAGTGTATATAAAAATTACTGTAAGAAGAATGATAAATTAAAAAAAAATCTAAAAGTTAATAAATAAATATAACAATTTAAAAAGATAACATTTTTCACTCCTTAAAAAAAAATCAATTAATATCTTTTCAACAATTATTTATTGTGTTTGAAATGGAATGTGTAATTTATTTATTGTTTAACTGCTATTGTAATCAATGCAATGTTCATTTGTATTAAAGGGTTTAATAATGACATAAATTGAAAAGTTTGGACATATATAACAAAATATTAAATGGTGAAGTAAAAGTTTACATTTATTATTTTAGTGAAAACATGAGCCCCACTGTTGTAATATTTTAAAAATTCCTTAAGCTGATGAAGTGAGATAGGTAGAGTAATTCCATTTAGTTTAATATTTTTATTAGTTAATAATTCAAGTTAAATATAACGTTTGAATGGTATTTAATATAAAATATTTTTATTTTAGTGTAATTTCAACTAAATTAAACTAATGTTTTACAATTCTATTTAAATTATTTTCTAGTTTTTATTAACATAAAGTTATTCAATATTTGTTTTTAAATTTCTGTAAATATTTTATAATATAAAATTTTTCAATATTTTTTAATTTACAAATTATAATGTAAATTTGTTATTATGTATTAATGAGTCTAAATAATAAGTAAATGATATCAAATTATAAAAATAATTTTTAATATATATATATATATATTATTTAATATTTAGTTTTAAACATATAATATTATATTTATGTTTAAGAAATAATTTAAATTTAGTTTAATTTTTTTTATTTTTTAATATAAAATTTAAACAAAATGATCTGATTGAATACATTAAGTATATATATTTTTTAAAACAATATATTAATTTTAAATTTCTTTATATTACAATATTAATGTAAAGTCTTGGTTGAATGACAAATTATTATAATTTATAAAATAACTGTTACAAAAGATAATATACATATGTTGAGATTTACATTTTTTTTATTAAGGAATTTAACTATAGAAGAAAATATATTAAATTAAATTAAATAAATAATAATATAATATTAACATTAAAAATATATAATAAATTAAAATAAAAAAATATTTTTAATTTATATCTACTTAAAAATTATATTATTTTACTGTTATCTTATATTTTTTTTACTAAGTTAACGATATAAGAAAACATATTGAATTATTTAAATATATAAAATAAAATTAATATTAAAAATAATAAAATAAAATAAAAAATTTAATAAATAATAAAATTAAAAATATTAAATATAATTATTTAATGCTAATTAATTTTAATAATTAAGAAGTCATAAACAATTTTGTAGTATTTAAAGATATTTTCTGTAAAAGTTAATAGGTGGTCCCCACATTGCCAGGTGGAGGATCCTCGAGAAAAATTGTAATTGTAAGTTTTTATTAGGGTTGGAAATGTATATATCTTTCTTTAATCTCATACAATTCTCCACTTCACTCCAAAATTCACCCTTCCCATACCACAAAACACTCCTTCTTTTCTTCCATTCTTCAACCTTTTCTTACATTTTTCAACCTTTTCTCACATTTTTCAACCTTTTCTTACATTTTCCAATTCATGGATTCTGAAAAGAGAATGAGAGGTAGCTGTGACGCCGCTGCTGTTGCTGCTTCTGTTTGTCCATTTATACCCGACGATGTGATGATGGAGATACTGTCACGGATTCCCGTGAAGGCCCTGATGCGGTTTCGGTGTGTTTCTAAGCATTGGAGCTCCTTTGTTTTCCATCCCAATCTGGTGAAATTGCACCTTCAAAGGTCTTCGAAAGACAACCCCATCCTGTACACAATATCCGAGTATGGCGAGTATGATGATGACGCACATTCTTTACACTTGTCCTCCCCGCAACGCTTACTCCAGAACCCACCATCAGTCGTCTACGACCATGCTAACGGTATTCCAATCTTATCCAATTACGACATCGTTGGAGTCTGCAACGGATTGGTGTGTCTGAGTAGAATGCATAATGATCTTGACGAAATTTGGGTCCGATTTTGGAACCCCGCCACCAGGCTCAGTTCCGAGGAGTCACCCTCTTGTTACATAGAATGTGGATGCGCTAAAATGGCCTTTGGCTATGACGCTTCAACCGACACTTATAAGGTGGTGGCGGCAGTGATGAGTGACGCCAAAACTCACAGAATAGAGCTGAGAGTTCTCAATCTTGGAGATGATTGTTGGAGGGAGATTGCAAGGAGCAGTGATGATTTCCCTACGGAAATTAGTCAAACTAAGGGGATGTTTCTGAATGGCACCCTTAACTGGGTGGCTGAACTTGGCACCGGGGAATCCAAATCGTATGTGATTTTTTCCTTTGACGTAGCCAAGGAGACGTACACCTTTTTGACACTGCCTAATGTTGTGGGGGAAGGTTTCTCTGAACTTGGAGTTTTTGGCGGTTGTCTCTGTCTGTATCACATTTACCGCAGGGAATCTTTTACTTTCTGGCAAATGAAGGAATTTGGAGTTCATCAATCTTGGACTCTATTGATGAACATCAATTACAAATATTTTCAGTTTCCCCGCTATCTCATTCCGCGTCCCTTGTGCTTGTCTGCAGATGGGAATATCCTGATCCTGGTATGCCATGCAGAATACAAACTTGTTTGGTGTAATCGGACATATCACCAAATAGAGCATTTTGAAATTCCCCACAAATGGGTTTCGCTGAAGTCGACTGATTATGTTCAAAGCTTGGTGTTGCCTTATCGTAATACCTGACCTCCACTGCAACCAATGCTTGTCTATTTAATCAAATCATGTAAGTTTTTCACAAGACTTTCATTTTGATGAGTAGCCACGGTCACATACTCATAAAATGTGTGTGGAATGATTCTTATTTTATGGTTGGCTAATAGTTTATTGCTTGGTTCTATTGACTATTGTTATGTTATGAATGATAGTGTTGCATTGCATAAAAAACTTGTTATTGGAATTAAACGAGGTTATTCTGCAGGATCGGAAATTGGTTCCCTCCCCAATTTCTGTAGTCTTCAAAATGTTTTAAATGCGTTGAAGATCTTTCAAACTTTGAAATGCTTGTGAACTTCTTATCAACTTTGTCATGTTAAACTTTCCTCTCGGCCGTCTCATAACAACATTCTGATTTTTTTTTTTTTGTCTGATGCATCCTTTTAGTTTTGTGTGGCTCTGGTTTGGTTTTGGCTGCACGTTTTGCTCTTGATTCATATCTGATTCGTATTGCTTGAACTTTCATTCGCATCCTACTGTGTTAACAATTTTATTTTCCATACAATGATTTATTTTGATTGCATTATTTTAGGTTCTTTCAGGATATACAACAGCAAACAACTACTTGATTTTAGTCACAGGTTACAAGTATTTGGTATTTAACTAGCAAAATCAATGTTTTTCTTTGTATTAAAAATTAATTTATCCAAATCAAGAACAAAATTAAATGGTAATATATACTGACACAGATAGACGGGGTTTTTATGGGAATAGCTTAGTTTGACTATGATGTTGGATGATGAAGTCTGTGGATTAATGAAGTATTGATTAATGTTAATAACACAACTCTTGTGTCACCAATGCTATAGGCTCGTATTGTCAAAATTTGGTTTGAAGCTAAATTATTCCTTTGTTTACAGAGGCATATGTGGATCGTTGGGCATGATGTATTTATTTATTTTTCCTTTGTGGTGTAGTTTTATTTTTCCTGTGGTGCAGTTTTTGTTGTTCTTGGTTAATATCCAATCCAGGTATGAATTTTTTCTACATTCAGATAAAACAGAATCTTATAGCCATTTTAAATAGAATAATTGTTAGGAGTTAGTTGATGTGTGCCAAAATTAAACTCTGAAAATTCATATTAGTTGTGTAAATGTTGGATCTTCCCAATATTGCATCTCACTGTTTAAAATTTAATTGCTTTTATTGAAACTGGCCTATCTAAATTTTACCCGTCTAAAATGCTGGCAGGAAAAAACGGGATATCTTCTTTATAGATAGATATCCGACCGTGGCTTCAGACGCATCCTGGATTATGGTTAGGAAGAAGGAGGACAGAAAGAAGTTTTTATAGGAACAATTATATCTCTTTTTAGTACCTGTTTCAGTAATAGACGTTTATTTATGGCTCTCTGGATGACTTTTTTAAGGTTCTTTGGGAATATTAGCATTGTCGTAAGTTGCGACATTTTCTCTCTTTAACAGTATATTTATGATATATGGTTGAATGGATTTCCTTCTTCTCTCGTCTTTGGTTTTATTTGTCAAAAAATAGTGCGACACTTTTGTTGATCTAGGTGGCAAGGTACAGTTTTTTGTTGGGCACATTTATGTTCACGTTGTGTTCAAGTTTTAAATGATTCGTATAATAAAGTAGTAAGAAAATACTAAAGTTTTAAATTGTAGAGTTATTAACTATTACATTAGTAAATTACTTTCTCTTTGTCTTTAATTTTTTATTATCTCAAAAATAATCCTTTATAGAGAAGTGTGTGTAGGGTGGGGAACTCAACCTATGTAGCATGAGTTGTCCTGTCTTGATTGACATAGATTATGTTTTAATTTCACACTATTTGCATCCACGTCATGATGACATTTATATGCTATCTAGGTTAGTGTAACTTAATTATGTAACTATTAAATGTGTTTCTATGTTTAATAAACAATAACATTTGAGAAAATGCATGAATACAAAAACTTTTACTTAACAATTGTGTAAACTTCTCTTGACTTGTAAATTTGAAAAGATTGAGGGTTCTTGTTAGTGACGAAAAAATATGTGCCTCTTGTCAAGTCAAAAGTTGTTGATCATGGTAATCTATACTTGTTCCAACCTACTTCTTGGATCCATCGTTGACCACGGTTTAATACCATTTCAATTCACCCTTTAGCATAACATACCTCATGATAGATCTTATTTCGTTTACATACAAACACGCAATCACAGACCCATTAGAAATTCCACAAAGCTTCTACTCTATTTCTATCATCTCAAATATCATTCATGTAAATTACACATCTTTAAACTTGTATACATTGTCACTGTCATAAATGTTAATATTTTATTTTAACAGCTTTGATTCATCTAGTAAATAACCGTTTGTTTGGAACACTGGAAGAAAAGGGTGAGACACATGCAAATATAATCGATTTGAAGATAATTATGTATTTAATCAAATCTATTATCCTTTATATAATTGATTATATATATGGAAGAAAGATAGATAGATATAAATAAGACGAGAGAGAAACAAATCTAGGATATGAAGTTAGGGTAAATTTGTTTTTAAAACATATGAAAAATATCCTTAAAAAATATTTTTAATTAAGTTAACTTCCTACATCTAATTCGGAATTATTGGGAATAAGTTTACGTCTACAAATTTAGGAAGACAAAAAATATAGTATAAATACATTATCATATTTTCAAATTAAATAATTAAATAAAAAAACAACAAAAGAAGAAAAATCAAGATAATTAGATAGGAGTTCAAAGCTACAAATTTAAGAGTGTTGAAATATATATAATTAAAAACTATTTGGGCATAAATTAAAAATGCAAAATTATAAAAAATATATGAAGTTGCATAATCTAATATTATTTTATGAAAAAAATGCATTTTATTTTTGTTTTTTCTTTCCTATAAATGTTAACAAGAAAGTTGTCAAAAACTAAAAAACAATGTTTTATAAACTTTGTGTAAGAATTTTAACCAGATAAATTCACGTAACGTGTACTTGTGTTAATGAGTTGACTTTTTTCACCAAAACAACAATATCACGGACAACAAATTTTGTTTGAATAAAGTTAACAAAATAGAACTATTAAATAACATAAAAGGAAAAAAAGGGAGATAAGGCAGGAAACCAAATGGTAGTTACGAGCTGTTGGTGTTCATCTCCATGGCTGCCTCTCTCTCTCTGTCACTGCCATGGAATTTGAAGGCAGCAACAACGCCACTGTCACTGAAACTGAAATGTGGAGCGTTTTCTGAAGGCACTTGTTGTCTTGTTCACAACGACCATGATGATATGCAAGCTCTCTTACAGATCCTTCCATCTGATTTGCATCACAATCTCCTCGGTCAACCTAATCGCTCTCAACTTCTAGAGGTCACTTTTCAATTTCAACGCTCTTTATTTCATCCTTAATTTAACTGTTATTCTTTATACTCAGAAAATCATTATTTATTTAGGTTGTATTGGATTTGGGTCGTTTTCCAGAAGCGCGTTATTTAGGAAAACACGGAGGCCACTATTTAAGGAACACAGAGGTAATTAATACCATGCACTTTTTCATTCAATGGTATTGTTTATGTCAAAGGGATGTTATATATCCAGAGATGCATTGAATTGTATAGTGTATTTCTGTAGCTAGGTAACTGTGAAGGAGTTGGAATATGCTGAACAAGCTGTTGGAGAGTTTGGGGAGGACAATAGAGCTGGAATTGAGGGTACTTTGCACAGAATATCTGCAATTAGGAGTAGGAATGGTCACATAGTTGGTTTGACTTGTCGAGTCGGGAGAGCAATCACTGGCCAGATTGACATGATTTATGACCTCCTTCAATATGGGAAGAGCATTTTGTTTGTTGGAAGGTATAACACACAATTCGCCCTTCTATCTATTTTAAAATTAGATACAAGTTGAAGTGCTAGGGGAATCCTTGAAATGAAATTAGTTTGATTCCTTATCTTACTTTTGGTCTTAGTTCTTCTTTAGATAAACTTGTCCTTGAGTACTTGTAAGAGAAAAAACAAGAAGGTAAAATGAATTAAATTTCTCCAACAAGTAATACTCTTTAGATTTTCAGTAAGTTGTTAGATAAGAAAGTTTCTATTCTATGGGATGTTCAAGTGAATAAGTTGATTTAAACTTACGAAGACAAGTTTAACTCATTTTATCTTCTCGTTTTCTTATCCTGCAAGTGCTTAGAGAGAAGTTTATCCAAATATAACATGTGTCATTTGGTCATTTCTTTTTAAAATATAAAATACTTCATGGATTCTGTGTTTGGCATTGTCAATTGTAATATATGATGTAAGTTGTTTGTTTTGGAAGACTTTTGAAAATTATGTCACGATCAATCTAATAACTGGTAAAAGTTACTTATCATGGTCCATTGACTCACCCATCCAACAATATAGTAGAAGGTTGCACAATTTCTCTACAAAGTTTTGATGAATTTTTTCCTCCTTTTTGTTGGATTCTCAGGCCTGGGGTTGGCAAAACTACTGTCATGCGAGAGATTGCTCGTGTACTGTCTGATGAGCTTCACAAAAGAGTGGTATGCTGATTTTTCAGCATCTCGTAGCATTCTTTCTTTCTTCCTTAAAGTACTTTTTTAGACTGGCTCATGACAGAATAACTTGCAAAATGGGTAGGTGATTGTTGATACCAGCAATGAAATTGGAGGTGATGGCAATATCCCTCATGCAGCTATAGGTGGTGCACGAAGAATGCAGGTGCGTGAGCCATCAATGCAACACAGAGTGATGATTGAGGCAGTAGAAAATCACATGCCTGAGGTGATTGTAGTTGATGAGATTGGCACAGAAATGGAAGCTCATGCTTGCCGATCAATAGCTGAGCGTGGAATCATTCTTATAGGGACTGCTCATGGACAGAAGCTTGAGAATATCATCAAGAATCCTAGCCTTTCTGATCTGGTTTGTTTTAATTTTCATATGCTTGTGCCAATAACATCCAAGAATTTGTAGCGTTTGCTCCCTTTTAATAAGCAAGTTGAGCCCTCTAGGTTATGAGTCATCCACCTAACATTGCTTCCTATCACTTTGTTGGATAATAACATAAGTTGTGCTGGTTTTATGTGGTTGAAAAATCAATTGATTGCTTTCTTGGGGGTCAAAAGGCCTTGAAAGGAATATCCTTAGATAATTCACTGTTTGAAGATATTTAACTGTTCTATATCTTTAACAAATTTAATTTTAATAATTTTATGTGAAATGAGTTGCAAGCTTTTGAAAATAGAGGGGACGGGGAGGGAGGGGGGAGGCATACCTCTAATGTCACCTAATTTTAGCTTAATGTAAGACAATATTTGTGACTGCCTCTTTTTACTTTATGTTTTGCACAAGTAATGCTGTTTAGAAGAGGCTGGAATCTGAATCCTATTCATGTTCTAATAGAATTTTTGTCGAAATTTCAGTATTCACAAGTATCCAGAATATTCCCATATAAGCAACTGTAATATTCAAGATACACCTCCATTTGCTTTATCAGATTGGCGGAATAGAAACTGTTACTCTGGGAGATGCAGAAGCCAGAGCGAGAAATTGTCAGAAGACAATTCTTGAGAGGAAAGCACCTCCAACATTTGATTTCTTGATTGAGATGAGAGATAGACACTACTGGCTCACACATCAGGTATTCTATTTGAACACTAATTACTGCAATAACAATATCCTTATCCCACTAAGTGATGTTGGCTGTATGGATCATACAACACTTACTCAAAAACTAAACTCTTAGGGATATTATTCACCATGAGATTCTTTTCAATAATTTCTCCAATGTTTCTTTTTTTATCTCCCTCTACCCTATCTGTCACACCTAGATCTCATACACAATCATTTTGTATCCCATCCTTTCTTGCGTGGCCACGCATTCTTTTAATATATCCATTCCTACTATTCCCACTTTTTCTTTGTTCTTTTACAGAAGTTATTTTATTTTTTTAGTTTTAACTTATTTTCAAAATAGCATCAGTGATTTTATCCAGCCATTTAGATATAAAATTCACACAACACTATAAATATACTAAAATTCATGAAGAAAAATATTGTTAAAATGGACCGTCATCAATACTGGGCCACTTAGAAAAAAGGTATATGTCCTTGGTTTAAAGCTCAACGTCAATTTGAATCCCGTCTTAAACATGTTTTTAGTCCCTATATTAAGTTTGTTTTTGTCCTTTCAATTTAAATTTGATTATTTTATTCCCTATAGTTAAAAAAAAAAAAACACTTGTTTTCATCCTCTTCTCAAACGCCTTATATATCGAAACAAACATGTGGTTGGGTATTTAATGATAATAATGCAAAATCAAAGTAGGTTGTCATGTAAACAATTTATAACTGTTAGTCATATAAGCATATTCTTTAATGGTATTTGGTGCAAAGAGTCTAAAACAGACATTTCTCAAATTATAAGGACTAAAGATTAATTTTAAATTTGGGGAACAAAAATAAACTTATTCTAAATTTGAAGAACTAAAAACATACACCAGTTCATTATCTAGTGCTCTAGTGCTGTTTTTTATTGATAATTTATTTTTGTTAATGACAAATTACTTAAGCAGTTATATGGGCTCATTAAAAGGCCAGGTAGGGTAGTTTCTGTTAATCATTGAGGGCATTGAAAGCTAAAATGTCAGTTCGGTTAAATTATATCTTGTTTTCCTTTTGCAGACTGACAAAAGCGTAGATATGTTGCTTCGGGGAAAAAGTCCACAGGTTGAGGTAATTCTTTGCTGTTGTGCATTGTACTTCTTCAATTTATATGATTGAAAGATTTTTTTTTATTATTATTATTATTATTATTATTTGTTTCTGCCTATTCTTCATAATATTTTTTAGGAATAAGTATGATTTTAGTCTTTGTATTTTATTTTTCAAATCTTATTTTTGGTTCTTATATTTTCAACTTCATTAAATCCATCCTTCAATTTTTTAAAATATGTTATTTTAATCCTTTTTATATTTACATTTAACATTTAGTGATGGATACCATTACCAAGAATGACTAAATTTAAAAAATATGGTTGATGCCAGATTAAAAAGCTTTTAAATTCAATAAGTTTTTATCACTATTTTCTGAAACTACTTAGTACAGAGCAAAAGGCATGATTAGGCTTCCGAGACTGTAGATAAACTTAAGTAATAGAAATATAGGTTCACACTTCGCCTCTGGCTTGGCTTGATTGTTCTTTCCTCTTTGATTTATTTCCCAGTTTTCCTTCCTGACACTGGATTAGGATTATATAAGTATATAAGAATGAGCTACAATGAATGTCCATCCATATTTTCCACAAGCCAAAATTTTCAATAATTACATTTAGTTTTAAACTTGTCTCTCCGAATTTCAGAACTTACAGTCACATCATAGCTTTCTTGATAAATATATAGGGATAATCGGTTATTATGAATGCCTTCTTCAACTTCATTACATGTTACAAATGTTTGCACTTTGGAGTAACATTCTGTAATATGAAGATTTCTAATCAAAAGGTAAATTTGCCGCATGTTTGTGTTGTCAAATGGATGTTATTTCTCTTTTAAATTTAGTTCATAGGCTCTGGCGCATATAATGCAGTTGTTACGTCTGACCAACATATAAACGATATTCTTATGGATCATCAATATCATCTTTCCAGGATTTTTCATATTATGACTGATGGTATCTCTAACTTTTTCGCAGGTAAGAAAAAGAGATGAAAAATGTAAGGTTGTGGTAGAAAAATCTAAAGCATACGATAAATGCCAGTTTTGATTTTTCCCTTCCCTATGATATTATTCATCTAGAAGCAGTTTAGTTTAGAATTTTGAAAAATTGTTTAAAAACCAATTTAGATTTAAAGCTATAAACCTGCTGAGGATTATGTAAATTATGTATTTCATTGATATTAGTATGTATATGTGTATATATCTTCACTTTGAAGTTACGTCCATGTGTCCTTCTTAGCACTATGTTCCGGATAGAAAAAAATCTATAACATACATTCTGATTAGACTCTGCCATGAGAGTTTCAATTTTAATGGGGCTACTTAGTGTTATTATTGTCTAAAGGCATCTCATAATATTGGAAATTTGTAAACGTATTGATAAGAAATGTTGGTTTAAGTTGTAGTCTTGGAGTGCATTATCTCTTCGTTCTTATCCTAAGGCCAGAAACCTCTGTAGATTGATTGATTGATGACTCTGAAAATAAAGTAGCTCGTAGTGGCTGCAGTGATACTGATCCTTTGTTTTGTTTTGCTCTAATATACTATCAGATAATGACTTTATCTTTATTATGGACTTATTTTTATTAAAATATATCGTTTAATAGGTATAGAAAAGGAATATAAAAGACTCATGAGGGGGACATAAACCAAGAAAGAACTCATAGGGGTAGAGTGAAGAAAAAGGAAAACAAGGGAGACCAATTTTGTTTCTAAAAAACCAGATTGAATAAAAGGAGGCAATTTGGTCCACCAAATGGTATCAAAATGATTATTCAACCCAAAATTTGTGAAAAAAAAGCCTCCATGGATAAGGAGTGCTGAAGACATTGCAACTATCTGTTCTAATCTTTCACGGCATAATATTGTGTTCGGTGAAGGCTTTAATCACAAAAACAGAGTCACGTTCCACCCAGAGTTTAAACCATCCAACACGATGAACATGTTCGCAATCATAACTGCTATGAGTTCAGCCTAATGAGCTTGAGTGACACCAATAAAAACCAAAAGATCTCCATCATGATTTCTAAAATTACTCCCATCCCATCAGAGTTGCACTTAACAATACCATCTTTAGGTTTAATCCAGTTTATCTGAGTAATCCATGGTGTTTTGAATCGATGAATACGTACAAAGAACTGCTATAAAATTCTAAATTCCTGAATGGAATTAGAGGCAAAATCATGTGAGATGTTTACTGTAGTAGCCACAACAGATGCTTGTTCGTAGGCAAGTTCAGTATCCTCAAAGGGTAACTTATCTGCTTCTTTACATTTTGAAATGTTCTCTACCTTTATTATGAACTTAAAGCCTTCTATCTTTGTTTTTTTCTTTAAGAATAAAAGTCATCTTTCTTGAAATATTGAATAATGAATTTTATAATTAAAAAAAACATTAAATTTAAATTATTTATATTTTAATTTTTTTTAAGTTTTATTTAGATAAAATAATTTAAATTTATTGATTTTTTATTTTTGTTATTTGAATAAAGCATTTAATTATAACTAAATATAACATTTATTTTATTATTAAATAATATTTAATAATTCAAAAATATTAATAAGTGGTGTATTTTAGTTGAGGTTATTATTTTACCTAAGTTTTCTGTTAGAGTCAAGATTATTTTACTAAGTTCAATTGATATTATTAACACAGGCTAATGTCATTTGATATTTATTGGTCGTACTTGTTTTTGTTTATATGGTTAGGGTTATTTTTTCCAAATCTTTGGATGAGGTTTTTATGCCTATTTTTGTATTAATGACAGTTAAAAAAAATCATGATCAATTTTGAAAAAATAAAAAGAGAATATGGATGATATCACTTAAAATACAATCTCAAAAAAATATCAACAAAAAAAAGCCAAAAATAAACTTAAATGAAAAAAAGAAGATAACATCTACCGAAAATAATCACATTGACAGTAATAAAGAAAATGGTCATGACTTAAATTGAAGTTGATTAAAAATAACACATATCAACGTTAACTAAAAAATTCTAATAAATAAAAAATAATTTTGACTAGAATATAAAAATTTTGGTTATACTATAAATAATTCAAATAATGTTTTGAGAGATAGTAAATTAAAAAATAGTCATACATATCAAATATCCTTCTTTTTTTTTGTTCAACATTAGTGGTTAACTTTCATATTATGATCTCATTTTCACTGTTCTAGCCCCTCCCCTCCCCTCTATACCAATCCCAGGGGTTTTTCTATCTGTCTACTTTATGAACTCAAATTCATCTCTCTTAGTTTGAAAAGGATATTTCACCATTTTAGTGCTATGTTTTGGGCAATAACAAGGTCTTATCCAATATATGTTGGACGAGTTTTTCTATTAAGATGCCAATGAGATGGTATCCATTGTTTCAAACCACACAATTTTCGTCTTCTAACCCTACTCATGAATATTGACACTTGGATTTTGACTTCGTGTCAAGATCATGGTACTTTATACGAAACAATTCATTTTGGATTGAGATTACCATTTGCATGCCATGAAAAAAATTATGAAATTTGAACTCCTGTATTCTGCATCTATTTCTCTGTACGTAGTACATAATTTTGCATCAACTTTTATTCTTGCCAAGGATTCAAGGAGACCTATTCTGTTTCAGTTTCTACTTTCTATTACTGTACCAAGTGAACTAGGAAGGTCTGAACATGAAAATCTCTTCATTTTGACTCTGTTAACTTCTTTTTATGAATGTTTATACTTTCATATATATCATCACCCCAGTTGTATATTTTTGAAACCCTTTTGCTTTGATTGATGAAGTAAAGACAAAATGTATAATTTGTTTGTATAGGATTTCAACAAAATGCATAATACAACGATAGGCTTTTGGTAAACAATAACAGTAATATGAGTTGACATTAACATTATTTAAAACCAATTAGATAAAAGGAAACAATACAGCAGGCCATGGCAAGTTATGTTCTTTACTCAGCCGGCAAACTCTTTATCTCTTCTAGTTTATTCATTCTTGTATGTAGCAACTCTCTCACGCAACACACACCTACACTTCGATTTTGTTAACTAGATGTTCCAAGTGTTCTTGATGTTATTCTGTTTTTATGTTTTTGTCTGCTTCCAATGAGAGAATGATTCTATATCAGTGCTCTAGTTCACTCAGCCCTGCTGGACCCCTCCAGAAAAAGAGTTCACTCTGCCACTTCCAAATTCCAGTATTAAACTATGGCCGGCCACAACATATGCATGGTTGCTACGTTTCTCCATCCTTTGTCTTAAACTGTCATTAGTCATTCAAGAATGGCCATAAAATTAAACGAGTTCTTCATCAGTTACAGACCACCTTGCTTCTAGTTCTACAATTCAGAAGCTTAAGCCATGTTCTACCTCCTCAAAAGATTTTGCCTTCTATGTTTCCTTTTCTTACCCTTTGATGTCTCACTCTGTTCATGTGCTTCACTCAGAGACTTGGCTTCTTGCTTTGTTAATCACAATATAAAAAACTTTACCACGCTCCCTTACGGTGAACATGACCAATCCTCTACCCTCAATTACTTCAAAATTCTTAATTTTTCCATTCAAAACCTTCGCTTCGCAGAGCCCGTGATTCCTAAGCCAATGGCCATTGTACTGCCAGAGAGTTTAGAGAAGCTGCAGAAAAGTGTGGAATGCAGTAGAGAAAGTTCCATGGAAATCAGAGTAAGATGTGGTGGACACAGCTATGAAGGGACTTCGTATGTGGCTGACGATGGCACTCCTTTTGTCATCATTGATATGATGAATTTGAACCATGTTTGGGTGGACATGGAGACAGAAACAGCATGGGTTGAAGGTGGTGCAACATTGGGAGAGACTTACTATGCAATCTCTCAAGCAAGCAATGAACATGGATTCTCAGCTGGATCGTGTCCAACTGTTGGCGTTGGAGGGCACATTGGTGGTGGTGGTTTTGGGTTGTTGTCTAGAAAATATGGTCTTGCTGCAGACAACGTGGTGGATGCCCTTCTTGTTGATGCTGATGGAAAACTGTTGGACCGAGAAACCATGGGAGAAGATGTATTTTGGGCTATTAGAGGAGGAGGAGGTGGTCTATGGGGGATCATTTATGCCTGGAAAATCCAGGTGTTGAAAGTGCCAGAGGTTGTAACTAGTTTCACTGTATCAAGAACAGGCACAAAAAATCATGTTGCCAATCTAGTGCACAAATGGCAACATGTGGCACCCAACTTGGAAGATGACTTCTATTTGTCATGCTTTGTTGGTGCTGGTTTGCCCCAAGCTAAAACCAAAGGGTTATCAATAAAACTCAATGGTTTCTTTCTTGGTCCTAGAGCCGGTGCAATATCCATTCTAAACCAAGCTTTTCCCGAGTTGGGTGTTGTAGAAGAAGAATGCACAGAAATGAGTTGGATTCAGTCAATTGTTTTCTTCTCCGGCCTAAGTGATGGAGCCTCAGTCTCTGACTTGAAGAACAGGTATCTGCAAGAAAAAGAATATTTCAAGGCCAAATCAGATTATGTAAAAAACCATATTCCTCTTGTGGGCATAGAAACTGCTCTGGACATCCTCGAAAAGGAACCAAAGGGATATGTTATTCTGGACCCTTATGGTGGAAAGATGCATAATATAAGCAGTGAAGCTATTGCTTTTCCCCATAGAAGAGGAAACCTGTTTACAATTCAGTATCTGATCTATTGGAAAGAAGCTGACAATGACAAAAGCAGTTACTATGTTGATTGGATAAGAGGGTTCTATGATGCTATGACTTCCTTTGTTTCAAGGGGTCCAAGGGCTGCATATATTAATTACATGGACTTTGACCTTGGAGTGATGAAGAGGATAAGCAATGGTGGTAATGTGAAAGATGTCGTGGAAAGTGCAAGGGTTTGGGGTGAAAAGTACTTCTTGAGCAACTACGATAGACTGGTGAGGGCTAAAACTAGGATTGATCCTCACAATGTTTTCAGCAATGAACAGGGCATTCCTCCCATGTCTTTGGCCTCTCCCGATATCAAAACACTCCAATCAATGTTAGTAACCAATTCAATCTAGCACTAGTCAGTTAAAAGTTGAAGTGAATATGAACCATGTGCAAGATCTAGATTGGTTGAAAACATGAAATCAAACCTCTCTCAATATCTTTTCTCTTAGGAATCTATCTCTACAATATATATGTTACTACAAAATCTACACAAAAGTAAGATATAAGAATAAAAGATAAAAAATATATAATAAAACTAGTAATAAAAAAAAAACAGAATAAAGAAATTACTTACAATATGAGAATCAAGTTTTTCTCCAAAAATTATGTCAACATCTTGTGTCATTAATAAAAAAATTGACATATTATTTAAAATACTAACTTGTCTTTTTAGTTTCCTGTATTACCTTTTCTAAAAAGAATATACACGTAGTTTTTGTTAGATGGACAAAAAGATGACACGATTGAAAGAAAAGTGATATGAATCTTAAAAAAAAATTTATAATGTTAGAATATATTCTTTAGAATCTTCTTATATAACTTAATTGTCATTCACATATTTATTAGTTAAACACATTTTTATATGATAGTAAGAGGAGTGTCCTTCTAAGTTATTATTCATAAACTACGATTTATTTAAACAAATTAATAATATTATTTTATTATTTTTATTTAAATTAGATATTAAAATATGTTTATTATTTTTTAAGAGAAAAAATATTAATTTATTATTTAAAATTAGACCGTTATAATTGAAATATTAATATTTGATACTTTATCATATTTTTACTTTATATATATATAGAATATATGAATAAAATATATACCCATGACATATATTTTCACAACCTTTTTTTATAAATAATATCATCATCTTAAAAAATATTTCCTAAAACAGCATGTCTACACCATTATTTACCCATCTAACATCATCCACTGTTCATATTTCAAATTCAGGATAATCGAATAATCGAATTCTAAACTACCATTTCTAATTTATTTATTTTTTCCCGTCAAAATTCAGTCCCCAAAAAACCCAAATCTGAACTACCATTTTTTTTTCTTTTTCAGTTAGAATTCGGTCCAGGTAACCGAATTCTGAACTAATTTTTCTAATTTTTTTTTAGTTTTTGTTTTTATTTTATTAATTTTATAAATAGATTTTTTTTATAATTTTAAATATAATTTATTTATAAGTTTACAATTATTATTTTAATTTATGCAATATATATATATATATATATATATAATTTAATTTATGTAATATATATAGTTATAATTTATATAATATGTATAATTTATTTAACATTAAAAATAGATATATTTTTATTAATTTTATAATTATAATTTTTTAAATTTATAATTCTAATTATAATTTTTTTAACTTTATATTTATAATTTATATAATATATAATTTATAAATAGTTTTTTTTTAATTTTAATTTGATATATATTTTTTATTTGTAATTATTTAATGTATATTTAAAGAATTTATTTATATGTTTATATATAATACTTTATAATTTTATTTATATAAATAAAAAATAATTACTCTAAATTAATAAGAAGAAATTTTATTAATTGAAAAACTCCTAAATTATAATTAAAAAATATACATATATAATTATGTTTTTATAATAAATTATATCTAATATATATATATATATATATATATATAATATTAAATAAAAAATAAAAAATTCATAATGTTAAAGATATAATATATTCAAAATATTATATATATATATATATAACATAAATTAAAATTATATATATTATATAAATTAAAATTATAAACTTATAAATAAATATAATTATTATCCTAAACTTAAAAAAAATTATAAAAATAATAAACAAATAACACTTTCTAAACCTATAAAAAAAATTGAAAGACCAGTTCAAAATTCGGCTCCCCAGGGATCGAATTGTGAACTAACACGATAAGAAGTGTTAGTTGAGTAAATAATGTTGGGAAGATGGTGTTTTGGAAATTTTTTTTAATATTAATTATGTAAAAAAGTCATATTTTCACATATTAGAAATATACATACATAAAACTCTACAAATTCCTATCAGTGATAACAAATCTTTGGTTCTTACAAGAATAATGGAAGGAGAAAGAAGTTTTTTATAAGTCATTATTCCAATTTTCGATGACAAAAATTATGACTTATGAGATGTGAAAATATAATTCTATCTTGAAGAATTGAATTTATGGAAAATTGTGGAAAAAGACTACATCATTATCCACTGCTTGAAAATCTCACCATAGCTCAAATCAAATTTCAGAGAAAGAAAAATGAGGAAGGAAAAAGTTAAAACATATCTGTTTGTTAGTGCTCCACGAATGATCCTCACCAAAATCGTGATGCTAAAGTTACCAAAAGAAATTTAGGAATAGTTGAAAGACCAATACGAAGGAGAAAAAAAAATTTGAGGTATGAAAATTATAAACTTAATAAAAGAATTTAAGATACACAGAATGCAAGAGTATGAGATAATTAATGAATACTCAAGCAAATTGTTAAATATTGCTAACAAGATAAAATTGTTAGGTAAGAAATTTTCTGATTCTAGAATAGTTGAAAAAATTCTAATAATTGTACTAAAGAGATATAAAACATCTATTGTTTCATTAAAAAATGCAAAAGAATTTGTCAAATATTACTTTAGCAAAAGTACTACAATATACAACTAATACCATCTACAAGCTACTGATCTTTACAACAAACATAATAGAAAAATTGCTAAGGATATTGAAACATTGGGCTTCTTCTGTTTTACCCCCTACAAGTTGGAGGTGAGTGAATGTCAAGCAACTCCAACTTGGATAAATTAATAATGAATAAGCAAGGGGAAAGGCCTTCGTAAACATGTCAACAAGTTAGTTGGAGGATGAAATAGGTAGTCAATGCATGAAACCTGACTCAACTTTCTCACAAACGAGATAACAATCAATTCTAGATGTTTTGTGCATTGATGAAAAATAGGATTGATGAAAAAGTTGCTTTGAACATGAAATTCCCAAATCAAATAGTAAATAAATGAGCCATTGCAATTCACATGTAGTGGAAGCTAGTGCCTTATACTCAACTTCGGAAGAAAATGTGGATACTATGTTTTTCTTTTTTTGGTTTTCCAAGAAACCAAAGAACTGCCAATGAAGATGCAATATCCTATAACAGATTGACAAGAATCAACGTAGGCAGCCCAATCTACATCGCTAAAATCTAGAACATGAACTAGTAAATCACACCTAAACAGAAGGCCTTTGTTGGGGTTGCCTTTAAAATATTTAAGAACTCGTACAACAGCCTGAAAGTGAACTTGAGTTGTGTTAGATAGTGTTAGATAGTGTTTTCTACTATAAATAGATTACCCTATGTGTGGTTTATACACAAGAGAGATTAATCTCAAACTCTATTTTCTCTATATTCAATATGGTATCAGAGCTTAATGTTATTTTGAAATTTTTTCACTTTTATCCACTGCTGGAGCCGCTACCGCCGTTGTCGGTTAAAATGATCTTCCACATCAGAAAATAGTTATTTTTGTTAATGGATATTATTTGGTAGTGTGAAAGTGCATGTCTAGGAAGATTCTGACAAGGAAAAACTTGGTATTTAAGCATGTCCATTAGTGACCCACCTCTCTTTCTTGGGAACTTACCTGGTGTACTGATTCACATCAATGTCACCGTCGTTGTCACCGCCTCTGCCCTTTATGACTTCTTTCGCTCCTTCTAGTACTTCCAATTTTGTTAGTACTGCATCTGATCCTTCCTTCTACACTAATTATGTTAATGTGCACTTATCTATTAACAAGTTAACTGGCCTTAATTATGTCACATGGTCATCAGACGTCAGATTATGGCTTAAGAGTCAGAAGTATCTTGATCATCTTGCCCCGAAAGCACCGACTCTCACTCCTGATGAGGAAGACCGTTGGGACACCATTGATGCTCAATTATGTGTGGTTCTCAAGGGTACTCTTGATCCTTCGTTAAAACAAATTTTTCGTTCCTACGAAACGTGTGCCAAAATCTAGGAACATGCCAAGTTATTATATACTAATGATACTCAACGTCTCTATGGTGTATGTTCTAAATTTGTAGATGTTATTGCCTTTAAACATCAAGATTCTATGACTGATTATATGGGCAAAATTCATGCTCTTTTTCATGAGTTTAATGAGTTATTGCCTCCTTCCCCCGACCCTGCCACCGAGATAACACAACGATCAAAGTTCTTCATGATAGGGGCATTACACGGACTGTTGTTCAACAATTTGGTATGACTTGGTGTGAAGCATATCATTTTGTCTTTTATCGACACTCGAGTGTTGGATGTGTTTACTTGATAGTATATGTTGATGACATCATTCTTACAAGTAGTGACAACCGTGACATCTCTCAGTTGAAACAACATCTCTGTCACCATTTTCAGACCAAAGATCTTTGCAAACTTAGATATTTCTTGGGTATTGAGGTGACACAGTCCAATGATGGTATTGTTATATCTCAGAGGAAGTATGCCATTTAATTATCTTACAGTTACTCGTCCTGACATTTCTTTTGCAGTTAGTATGGTAAGCCAATTTCTTAAATCTCCATGTGAAGATCATTGAAATTCAGTAATTCGTATCTTGAAGTATATTAAAGGATCTCCTGGAAAATGATTATTATATGGTTCTAATAACCATACAAGATTTGTTTACTACTCATATGCTGATTGAGCAGGATCTCCTTCGGATAGAAGATCTACATTTGGATATTGTGTCTCCATTGGTGGTAACTTGATCTCATGGAAAAGTAAGAAATAGAGTGTTGTGGCAAGATCCAGTCTAGAAGCAGAATATAGAGTTATAACCTCAACTGCCTGTGAGCTTGTTTGGCTCAAGCAATTGCTTAGAGAGTTACAATTTGGAGATGTCACTCAAATGACACTTGTGCGTGACAATCAAACTGCTCTTCTTATTAGCTCTAATCATCTATTTCATGAGAGGACTAAACACATTGAGATTGATTGTCATTTCATTTGAAAAAGATTATGTCTGGAGACATTAAGACTGA